TTTTGCTAATTGTTTTTCTTTTCATTGGGCTTGTATCTTTTCTTTTTCTTTTTTAGCTTTCCTCTTCATTAGATATTGTTTTGCTACAGTAGAATCAACAGACTCTTTGAATTTAATTGTTAAATTCTTCAAGGCTATTTTATTTTGCTACCATTGGCTACTCTTTCTTTGTTCTTGAAGTCTCTTGCTTCAATCTATTTCAAATTTCAACTTTATTTCGGTAACTTGTTTTGCCCTAGTGTCTTTTATTTCATTTAACTACTTCGTTGTATCTACTGCAACTATAAGCTCATTTATTTTCTCAATTATGATGTAGATAGCTATGTCTATATCTTCTAACAATGCTTTACGATAGTGTTAAAAATTTCTTTTTCTAAGTGCAAAATCTGAGTACTGAATTTTTTCTTTTCTATATTATAATAATTCTTTATATAGAGCTTCTATCTTTGGCTTCACCTTTTCTAATGTAATAAACTTTATTGCATCTGTTACTGAGGCTTCTATTGTTTGTTCTATTATAATTGCTCTTTGTTTCTCAGTTAATCGTGCTAGTTCTTGCTGAAAAAATGCTTGTTTTTCTTCATAGTTTCTTGGTCATAGATTGGCTGCTACTTGTTTTTGAAGCTCTCTTCTATCGATTTTTACCGAATATTCTATATGATTTGTTGTTTCTTTGTTGTTGCTAGTTTGCTTCACGTGATTTGTTGTTTTTAGATTATTGTTGATTGTTGTTGTTGTTTGTTTAGTACTGTTGTTTGTTTTTATTACCTGGTTTTTAACGTATTTCTTTTGTTTATTCTTTATTACATGTTGTATTTTTTGTATTACTAAAACAGATCTACAATTTAGGGTCAAGGCCAATTTCCCAAAATTTTCCAAAGTGCAAAAAAATATTGACGATTTTTCATGACTTCTTCTATTTCTTTGCTGCTTCATATTTTTTTAACTCAAGTCTTCTAAGAAACTAAGTGTAGTCCTCTTCCTTTTTACTTAGAGCTTTGAGTTAGATTTCTTAATAGCCTTTGTGTATTTTTTGTAGTTTTTTAATTAATTTTGTTTTTCAAATTTTGTGTTTTGATGATCAGCAGAAATAGTGTTTTTTTACAAACAGGTGTCTTGAATATTGCTTCATCAACTTTACAATTATATGATATGGATAGTATTACTTATTCTAATATTAGTTGTAATGCTTTCTTAGTTAGTCAAAGTGATAATACTTCTTTAATTAGCAATACTTATTTTGCTATTAGTAACAATATATCCTTAGTTAAAAATAGCAGCAGTGCTTATAATAATAGTATTTTTAGCAATAGTTATAATATTGATCATTTTTTTAAAATTAAATCTTTCAGTAATGTTGATAATAATATTTATCTCAATAATAAATATTTGACTAAAGAAGCTGATGAATATGATAAATATAAAGATCAAGAAAATAAATTAGCTTCATTAAGATTAGTATCAGATCTTTTGTTTTAAGATTAACAATCCTTTACAGATCAGCTTAATCAATTTGCAAGACTAAAAAGATTTTGTTATAGAATTTATACTAGTGAAATAGATAATAGTATAATTAAAAGAACAACATACTGTATATATATACCCAAGCTAGCACCAATAATCTAAAAATAATATCTGATTCTACAAAATATTATAATGCTAAATTCCAATAGATTGGATATTCTTGAAAATTAAATATTACTCAATCTAAAAAAATAAATATAGTAAAAATTAATTTTTTTAAAAATAAATATAACTAACCGCTAAGGGTGTGGCGACTTAGTGAAGTGGTTAAGTTGTCACACCCCAAGCAATATGTTGGCCAGGTAGAGGGTTCGAAACCCACTGGTGATGAATTTCGAATATTCTACTTGTATGATGGCTACTGTC